AGCCACCGCCGCCACCTCTCGTCGCCGGCCGTCATCCGTCGTCGTTCGTCGCGTTGGTGAGTATCGTTGAGCTCGCGACGTCATCCTCTACGTGTAGATGCCCTTAGATAGGCCGGCCGACCTCTCTAGCTCCGGCGAGGTCGCCACCCATGCCGTGGCTGCCGTTGATGACGTCATCGTGACATCATCATCTTTTCTTTTTCCTTTTTTCTAATAGATTAAATCTTCGGAAAATCATAACTAAATAATCGTAGATCCGTTTCAGGTGGTTCAAGTTGCTAAATTTTTCTAAAATCAGGATCTACATGTTAAAAATATCCACATGTACTGTTTATGCTTGTTTTTGTACTGTTTTGTTGAATTTTGTTTTTTCGCTTTAGTTTCCGACGTTCCGAAGGAGAGCGTTTTCGTTGAGGAAGGTTCGGAAGTGTTTGCGGAAGCTCATGGCAAGTCACACAGATCCCAAACAACCCTTTGAGCATGTTGAACCCGTTTAAAGCTATTATTTTATTTCAACTATGCATTGTTTTCGAATGTCACCGGGTGGTGAACCTTTCCCAATTAATTAATGGCCGAAGATGACTTTATTTTCCTATGGGTTATAATTTGATTAGCTAGAACCTTATATATTGGTTTGGTTTAGCTAAATGCTACATATATATATAATTGCTTAGCCATGCTTAGAAACATTAGCTCACTAATGGGATGAATCATATATACTACATTATTATTTATGGTTATATTTAATGGTAGCTCACGATGGTTAATCGTGTTATGATAATTAATTGATAATTAAAACTTGATTAAAGGTGGGTTGTGAGCACATGGTTTTGAAAGTCGTGCTCATGGCAATTAAGGACCGGTTCGCGAGCTACTGTTGCGAGACATTAACCGTGCCAACCACAAGCCAGCGTGGGCAACGGCTTTACCTTTTGTATAGCATGATTCATTGCGGGGTGCCAGACTGAGAAGCGGCGAGAAGTCCGTGGGGGTCGCTGGGGAGTCCATGCCTCTGGTTTTTGAGGGGGTGATTATGATCCAGGAATGGTGCACTGTGGTGAGTTGTGTTGTGCGAAGGGTACTGTCACGATTTCCCCCTTTGCAGTGCCGTGGTGGTACTTCGGGGCATGGCAACATGTGTGGAATCGTGTCTTGTGGGTACAGTGGTACACCTCTGGCCAGAGTAAAACTATTCGAATAGCCGTGCCCGCGGTTATGGGCGAGTTGAGCAATGTTTTTCGTGATTAGTCTCACACTACTCATCAATGTTAATAATGTGATAATTAATTTGACTCCTGGTTTGGAATGGATAATTCCTGGTTTGGAGGTTTGATCTGTACGACCGGGGTTGGTTGTTCAGGTTTGGTTGGGCCTGAGCAGCATGGGTGTGCTGTTCAGTGTTGATTAAAATTGATGATTAATTACTCTACTGTTTTACTTATCTTAAATCTTTGCTAAATGCTGCTTTTGTAAATGAGCCTATATTATGCCATCCTTTGGAATCCTTGTGCACTTGCATATTTGCTGTGTGGCTTGTTGAGTATGTCATATGCTCATTCTTGCAACAATCATCAAACCTCAGTTGAAGATAAAGGTTCCAGAAGGAGAAGACGTTTGGCTTATACCCCAGTTGAGCTGCCTGTGGGAGTGGAGCTAAAGCCATCGCTAGATCGTTATTCCGCTGCTGTTTTCTTTTCTTTTGTAAGTATGTAACGTTATTTTTAAGATGGATTTGTATATTAAATTGTCAGTTTGTGTACCTCGGCTGATTCCTGGACGAGGATTTTATGCACAAATTAGTTCGGAATTTACTAGTTAATTTCCGGGCGTGACAAGTTGGTATCAGAGCCATCTCGACTATAGGATAAGCCAAATGGTCAAACCTTAAGGACTAATTTTCCGAAAACATGATTTGTGAAAAAAAAAACCAATAAACGCCGACAGCGCCACCCTCCCCTCCGCTCTCTCTCTCCACCGCTCTCTCCCTCTCTCAACGGTTTGGCGAAGGTGGCGGCGGCGGCCCGGTGGCGCGCCCTTCCCTCCGCCAGATCTGGCGGGATGGGAGGCAGCGGCGGTCCGGCAGCATGTCGGCGGCACCCTCCCTCCATTAGATCTAGAGGGAGGTAGTGGCGGCTTGGCGCCTGCCCACAGCAGCGGCGACGGTGGTGCTGAAGACAGTGGCGCCCTCCTCTCCATCTGACAACGGTGCGGTGGAGGAGAAGGCCGACGCGGAGGGCGATGTGACGGCCGGCGACACAAAGGGCGATGCTTCTTGTGTTAACGTGTGCTTGATATGTTCTGTGTTATGTGTTCTTGAGGTCGGCCGGCTTGATTCGTGCTCTGTTGCTCTTGAAGTTCTTGATGTGTATTCTTGACATGTTCTTGAAGTTCTTGATGTGTGTTCTTGATCCGTGCTCGGGTTGACTTGATTTGAGCCGATCCGGTATTTTTTTTTTGGCTCGTTCATCCTTATAGGTGTCGGTTCTAAATCGACACAGGAACCGGCACCTATTTGGTTTCACAATCAGTGCCGCCTCCGTGGTGTGGGTTCGGAGAACCGACACCTATGCCGTGTTCCAAACCAGCACCAATAGCCCTTTCTGTAGTAGTGACCGCGCCATTAACGTTGTTGCCGCTTTATAGGTTTTTAGAGGAGATTGGAGAGGGAATGTGAAAGTGGACTCGTAAACTCTCGAGGGGCATCACCTCATTATATGCATGTCATTCAAATGGTTATGTAAAAAAAGTTGAAAAAAAACAACAAATAGATTAATATGTGATAAATTACTTCACAAACATGCAAGTTAAATTTAACTTCTACAAGTTGCTAAAAAAAATTAAACTATGGGTAGGTAACGTATATTTGCAATCAATTTTTTTTCGTTGTAACTTGTAAAAGTTAAATTTGACCACGTATGTTTGAAGAGTGATTATCACATATTAATCTATCTTCTTAAACTTTGTCATAACTATTTGGATGATATGCAAACAACAAGATGTCCCATTGAGAGTTTAGAATAGTTTCTCGAGGGTATGTGGGCTTGGGTCCATTTTGAACCACACCTAGCTGCGTTACAACATCCACATATGTAAAGTTTTGGCGTGTCACATCAGATATTATATAGGGTATATAGGGTGTCGCAAGAGGTATTCGAGCACTAATAAAAAACTAATTACATAATCCGTCAGCAAAGCGCAAGACGAATTTATTAAGCCTAATTAATTGTCATTAGCAAATGTTTAATGTAGCACCACATTGTCAAATCATTGTGCAATTAAGCTTAAAAGATTTATCTCGCAAATTAGTTGCAATCTGTGCAATTAATTATTTTTTAGCCTATATTTAATATTTCATGCAGGTGTTCAAGCGTTCGATGTAACAGGGTGAAAAATTTTGGAGTGGGATCTAAACAGGACCTGAATTGTCTTTTTTTTCACGATTTTTCTCTCCATTTGACTCAGAAATAATAAATAGATGCAGTGCCACCTAGCAAATTACTAGTTAGTCAACCATGTCATGGTTCCAGGTGTCCAGCAACAAACTTCCAGTGTCCTACAGCTAATTTTACCAATTAGTTCTGTGATGTTTGCACAATCACATCGTTTAGTTTTCACCATCTTACCCCCAACCATCCACTCCCTTGATACCATTCATTTAACCGGTTGTTTCGCTGCCCTAGCTGCTGCAACTGCCGCCGTATAAATCTAATGTTCGATATTGTAGTTGTGCCTTCAATCTGGGCAGCTTAAGATCCTGATTCTGAGAAGCAGATCTTACCGAATCAGCCTCTTACAGAGCTTAAGATTTTGAGAAGCGGATATTTGGTAACCAGTTGTAAGAATCTGAAAAAGCTAGGTTTCCTAGCTTCTAACTTATAGTTCATTTGTTTGGATTCTACAACTAGCTTCTCAGAATCTGAAAGAAAAACTAGATTGTTTGGGAAAGCTGCAGCCAACTAAAACTCTCTCCAAATAGGAGCTTCATCTTTTCCTTATACTTATGGAGAGTACGACATTGCTCTGAAGGCTGACTAGGCATTATCTCATCCTGTCATCTACTCTTCTTTTTTCTCCCAAAATTAAGTCAGGTTGTTGTATTAAATAAGAAAAAGGATTACAACACTCTCGTTACAAGAAAGATGAACTGACAACAGATATAGAGCTTCGTATGTTGGACCACCTAAGAGAGATACGAGTAGACGAGCATAGCCACAAACGTATCTTTGTTCCTCCCACAGACCAGCAAGTCGACCTCACATAAAGTCGGTAACTCGAACCCTAAAGTTGTCGTTTCTCTGGCAGATCAACAAGCCGACTTCACATTAAAGTCAGCTAAAGTCAGCTCTAGCAGCAACAAATAGATCATTTTTAAGTTAAAAAAAACAAATAGATCATTTGTGACCCAAGCATCAACCCGACAAAAGGGTGGTCTTGTGTTTTTGAATGGGCCTCGCGAATGTAGTGGCTCTAGTGAAGGAATATGAAAGGAATAAGTTCATCTGAGATCCCTTAACTTGTCAACAAATCCGATTTTCGTCTTTCAACCGTAAAACCACATACAAATGGTCCCTCAACTATCAAAATCAGTGCAGATAAGATCCCTTGGCGGTTTTGGCTGATGTGGCGCCTACGTGGCTAATTTGACTCAGTCTTCAACTGACGTGGCGCTTACGTGACAATTCGATCCGAAAAAATAATAAAACTCGTGGGACCCACATGTCAGTTACACAAAATATAACAATTTAAAAATGGTGGGGCCCACGTGGGCCCCACATGTCAGCCTCACTCCTCCCTTCATCCCTCTCCCTTCTCTCTTCTTCCTCATCCTCACTCTCTTCTTCCCTCTCCCCTCTCCCTCTCCCTCTCCCTCTCTCCTTCCTGGGTGTACCGGAGCGGACGGGCGGGTGGGCGGCGGGGCAGGATGTGGCGTCTACGTGGCTAATTTAACTCGGTCTTCAACTGACATGGCGCTTACGTGGCAATTCGATCTGAAAAAATAATAAAACCCATGGGACCCACATGTCAGTTACACAAAAAATAATTTAAAAATGGTAGGGCCCACATGGGCCCCACATGTCACCCTCACTCCTCCCTTCATCCCTCTCCTTTCTCTCTCTTCTTCCTCATCCTCACTCCTCTTCTTCCCTCTCCCCTATCTCTTTTCTTCCCGGGAGTGCCGGAGCGGACGAGTGGGTGGGCGGCGGAGCAGGCGAGCGAGGCAGGCTGTCCAAGCTCTGGCGGTCCCGGGAGTGCCGGAGCGGACGAGCGGGTAGGCGGCGGAGCAGGCGAGCGAGGCGGGCTATCCAAGCTCTGGCGGCGGCGGCTTGGCGAGCGCCACGACGGGGATCCCCAAGACGGTGGACAACGGCGCTTGCGACGGGAGCCTCGACCGAGGGAGAGGAAGCATCGTAGTGGCCGGAGCCAGGGTGGTGGGTGCCACGGCGGGGGCCAGGGTGGCGAGGGTGGTCGGCGCAGGAGTCGGAGAGGCTCGACCGCGGGCTCCGACAACGAGGACGACCACTCCGGTGCCATCACCACCGCGCGCGCCAAGAAGGCGCCGCCCTCCATCGTCGTCACGCTCAAGAAGATGGAGTTCGACGGCGGCGGTACTAAGGACGGGGATGCGGCTGGTGCAGGACCTCGCGGCAGCGCTGACCACCGCGCCGTCGGTCTCCTCCAACAAGACGCCCGCGCCCGCCACCGCGCCGACCACCCCCACCACCCTGCCATCTACGTAGACCAATCCTCCATTAACAAGAGCAGTAGAGCACCCAACTAGCATCTACTACATGCTAGACTTCTAAACAATAAGAGATTTAGAAAACTCTGAGGACATGATCTCACCAAAACCAGCAAACAAGAGAAGTGCATTCATGAAATTACCGGCGATTCTCGATCATCTCGCCGATCCAGCGTCCGTAGCAACAGAGCAATGGGGCTCCTTCATAGGAAGGTGTGTTTCCCTGCCCATAAGGCTGGGCCCCACATGTCAATGACCCATTTCTCTCTGACTTAACATCGTGACAGGCTTCCGCAAAGGAGTGATCATCTCATCGATGCAGCGTCCGTAGCAAAAGGAGTGTACAGACTCCTGCCAAGTGGGTTCGCAATGCCATAGGAATGAGCCGCTTGCAAACGGCAGCAACCAGAGGCACAAAAATGAACAACAGCGACCCAAGGCACACAGCAACAGGGACATATTCACCAACACCACGCAACAAGACTACTCACGAATCAAGATAAAATGGAGAGAACTCCACGAGGAGGGAAGAGGTGTGCAGATGAAATGAAAAAAAAAAGGCCGAATGGCTACAAGTTGGCACCTTGGTATATCAGCCATTCGGCCATAGAGATTTGTATGCCCGTACAATGACCAGTTCCATATGTATAAGGAAATACAATCAGATCGTTTTGATGAGATATTTCATTTGCTGGTTTAGTTCTTAATTTTGTGGTTATGTTTCAACTTTCAACCAAACAATATATATTTGTTGATGTCCTTTAGCCTAGTTATGAAGTTGCAATTAGAAAGGAGACCTAGAGTTCAATTATTGTTTAAAATGTCTGCCATTTGTTTTTTGTGAGTAATCCAATTAAAAGTGTTGCTTCATCTTTCTGGATATATGGGGTGATAAGCTTAAGCCTAGGACTACACATACTAACATACTTCGTGCCAAATGGTTCAAAATGGGTACGCATTGGAAATGTGTTACTTACCTCTAATTTGTCTTCTTTGGCCCTGTGGTTCTTAGGAAGTCTTCGGAAGTCCTCGGTTAAGCTGAGACACTCCTTAACATTCTCGGGTGATACAAAATCCAAGGCAATCTTGGTGCAGGACTGCAACATAGCATTAATAAGAAATTAGCTACAAAAACATGTGAAACTTGGCAAGTATTTCAACCCAGTTCTCAAGTATGCAGTGCTGCAAGAAGTCACGGTACTGAAAGAGTACACTGAAAAAATTACCTTAAGATTCCGTACTTGATGAGGACACCCAGCAGGAATGAATACTGCCTCCCCAAGTTTTTGTACAAATGTCCAAGGCTCAATTCCTAAATGAGCATCTCAGGATTTCAAATAACCTTTCAACACAACCATTTGCTATTACAAATAATTACTACAAATCCACAACATCACATTAGCAGATAAAGGAACTCACCATGCTCCTCCTTGAGTTTTCTCTTGTGTTCTTCTGTTAGATAAAATGTTTCATCATGTACAGGGTTACATACCTTCAAAAAACATAAGGTGGCATTAAGCATGATGGTCACAAGTGCAAGGTTGTTCATAAATCACGCCCATACTTACCTTTTGAACTGCAGAACAGTATATATGGCGAAATTCCTTAGAATGCTTGTCGAGATACAATTTCAGTTTTGGAACATCTTCCCTCCTAAAAATATCCCATAAAGCACCTCCCTTGTTGGTCTCACTGTTTATAGGACAGGACAACTCATTTGCATCCCCACAGATTTTAGGAGATGTATAATTTCCGTCTGCATTCCCAGAACACTCCTTTTCATTTTGCGCTGTATGTCTTCTTTTCAAACTTTTTATTGCATCTATTTGTTCCTCGGAAGGGTCAACTTCAGCAGTATGCATCAAAACGTTAACCTAATAAAAAGCCATCATAGGTTTAGATGAATAAACAGAACAAGATGCCAGTGTTATAAGCTAACAATTTCACTGTGGGAGAAGAATAGTCAGTAGTTTGCATAATCAACTAGCTGTGTCAAGAGCACTGTTGTCTCAGTGTCTTGAATTACAAGCAAAAAATGGTCTCAGGTAAATAAGGAAGCAGGATCTCATTTTATATACCACAGTTATTTTTTTTAAAAAAAAAAAAGAGTAACTTTAAGTCTTCAAAGAAGAAAATGAACTTGCCCAAGGACTCTTCATGAACTATATGAACCATAAATGGCCATAGTATTATAACAACTTACTGCATCAGACAAATCGCAGTGAAGCTTTGTAACAGAATCTCCTCTACCAAGTTCCTGTGCATAGCCATAAGCTATATATGATTTTGGGCCCATGTCAAGCTTTAAGATGTCATCAGGAAGCAAGGTTGAGACATTCAGCAAACCAGACTTCAAGTTTGTGTATGGTTGAAAAGGTAAAGAATTCATGTATTTAACTCCATGGGAAGGCAAAAGCTCTTCAAAATGATTTGATGTAGGCCAGTCCTTCAATTTAAGCATTTCAGGCCATAGATTTTGATACATCCGACCTTCATAATACCCATTGAAGAAGTCTTGAGTGCATATCTCGACCTGGATTACACAGACACAGAATATTACGTTTTTTTCTTTTCTAGTTTATGATAAATGAAAATTACAATAGGTGCACTGATGGGGGTCATATGTTTTCATGCATCATCCTTAACCACTATTAAGATAGAGTTTAAACAAAACTGTTTGAAGGCAATCCCCTAGTAAAATACATGCTCCCTTCAAAATGTGTTTACTGTATAAAATTTCATATTATCAGATAGACAACTATAAGAAAAGAAAATTATAGCTCAATACAGTAAAAATCTTTCTGGCAAATGAAGAACACATGAGACTAGACTGCATAAATTTCTAGTGTGATGCTGAATGTGATGTGTGTTATTTACTTATTTTTCGCATGGTCAATGGATACAAAAAGAAGGGGGTCCTTCATGCTAACAGACACCCTCTGTACTCAGGAACAACTCAGTCTTTAAATCTTCAATTCATACATAAGTTCTGCGTGTTGACAAGAGAAGTAGTGATCTACAGTGTGGAATCGATGGCACCCAGGATTTAATTATGTTGAGTCAATAATGAAGTAAAGAATGTTAATTAATACAAGTATCTGGATTTGGCTTGTGTGCGACGCAACCAACTGCAGACACCCTTGGGAGCAATTCTGATGTCTTGTTTCATATACTACAAAGTGGGTCCTTTTTTATGTAACTATTAGCTGTTTGCTCTCAGCGTGTTATGCCAATGTAACACAAGAAAAATGTGGCACAGCTTTCAGGTTGACAACTCATTTACAAAAAAAAGGGCATTACTACAAATACAATTTCACTAGAATAGCAGCACTGATCGCTCTCATAAACAAACTACAGTCAGTATCAATCAAGGAAAAACTACTGTAACATGTATTGTAGATGTAGGAATGTTATACTGACCTCACAGCAAGATAAACAATCAATAGCCTTCACGTTTTTCATCTCAGGACTAGTGCCGGTGCCATGTACTTTAGACCACATATCTGGTGGCTCCCAACTCAAACATGACATTTTCTTGAGAACCTGTTGAACAATTACGGGTTCGCCTTTCACCCAATGCTTCTGGAAGTGTGTGAGATCTTCTGGCTTTCCATTATCCAATGTAGGGCAGTATATGTAGTTATCAGTCGAATCCTCTCTGCTGGCAGCTTTCCTTGAACTTGCATGATCAGTAGAACATGAGCACTCACAAGTGTCTCTACCGATAATATCAGATGGTTCTAATTGTTTACGCATTTGGAAAGCATCCACTTCGAGTTTACTCAACCAGTCTTTTGAAAATATTCGTCTCAACTGAAGAATATGATTACCACACCCACCAAGTTCAGTTGGAGGACAATAAATCTTGTCAGAATCAACACGCCACTGTATGTCCTTAGATTGGTTGCTAGACAGGTCTCCTTGTTTGTAGTTTATCAACTCTGGTACTGAATCACCATCACCACCATGCATGTAGTCAGGTCCTCTATTAGGATAAGAGAACAGTTCTTCCTTACAAGAGCCCATAAGTTTGGCTTCGCGGAGCTCCTTACAACAGACGATGCATAATTCATAGGAGCAGCCTGGACAGCTTCTATGCAGATCAAAGATTGAAGTTTTGCAATGGTCACTGGATCACATGGAAAAGAAATCAGGACACATTTAAAATGAAAAAAAAAAGTATTTGATGAGTGGGAGGCAACCAGCACCAGAATACTCTCTCATCATGCCGGCAGGCAGCCTGCTCCACACTCAACTGAGACAATTCCAATCCTGTGCAGGGAAAGAGATGTACTAAGAAATAGTTGCAAGCTAGCAAGTAAATTACTCAAGATGTTCTAAAGAACTAAGCTTACTTTGAATTTTAGCCTCCTTTTCTATCTCACTCATCTGGTCCTTGTTCAGCTTTGTCAAATGTGGCGCCAAGTAGTGTAGCATGTAGTTGGCATATTTGCTTTTAGTTTCAGTGTCAACCTCATCAGTCCTGACATCTAGTGTATCTGCCTTATCTAACATGGCAGATTCATTGTTTATCCTACTGTTAGCTTCTAATTTATCAATTGCTTTTGCCTGTAGTGCCGCAGTATCAACCCTGCATCTTAAACCTGAGGCAGCAGTCTTCACTCTCCGTTTTACTGAACTACTGCTGTTACATCTCCTGACAAATGGGTTCTACAAGAGGAGAAAAAGAAACACATGTTAGAAACACAGCAAACTGCGAAATATCTTTACAGTTGTGATTTTAAACAAGTTGTATCAGTAATCTATTACTAAACAGGCTTATGAGTCCTTAATGAAATGAAATTGGGGTCCTTCTTGTCAATCTAAAAAAGAACATGTTTAGCCAAATTTCGTCTACTCCCTATGAAATTCACGATCTAACAGAAAAAAATAACACTACCAATGCATCACTGGTACAAGAAGAACACAATTTTCTAGCAATGAATCTAAATCATATGAAGCTAAGAAATCTAACTGCTTCATGTCGCAATGAATCTTAAAAATCTCTAAAACATCAACAAAGCCACAATGTCCATTACCCTGGGTCCATCCGACTTGTCACTGGGATTGCAGCGAGTGCAGTTGCAGATATTTCGACAGAAAGGGCACTTATCTCTAACCTCGGCCTGCTGCATCTCCGGGTACCTGTAAAGCACACAAGCTTTGGTGAGAACTCCACGTCACCTTTCCACATATCTAACTGCAGATGGGGGAAAAAAGATGGATGTGATACTTGTTCTTGATGCATGCGGCGCAGAAGACCTTGTCGCCGCAGAGCTGGCACCTGACCATCTCCTCCGGCCGCGGCTTCACCCTCTTGCATTGGTGGCACGAATTCCCACCCCTCCCGCGTCCCTGCTTCCTGCCGCCGCGGCCGCGGCCGCTGGTGCTCGGCGGCGAGAAATCCTCCTCGTCGACGGTGGTGCCGAGCAGGGGCGCGCTCCCCATCGCCGCCACCGTCCTCATCTCGTCGCTGCTGCTGCCGTCGCCGTCGGTTTCACATGTTTCCACCTCCTCCTCCTCCTCCTCCCCCGCGACCACCACCTCCTCCTCCGGCTCCTCCACGCGCCGCCGCTTGGCCGGCGGCGATGGCGCCGCCCGGCTCCGCCCACGCCCCCGGCACCGGCCCCGGCCCCGGCCCCTCCCCCGCACCGCTCCCCCCCTCCTCCCCCTACCCCTCCCCCTCCCTCTCCCTCTCCCTCTCCCCCTCCCCCTCTCCATCTCCACCCCCCACTCCTCCTCCTCCTCCGTCTCCGTCTCCGTCTCCTCCACGCCGCCGCGGCCGTAAGCCCAGCCCACGAGCACCGGCGGCGCCCCGCAATCCACCGCCGCCATCGCACGCAGCTCGCTCTCCTCGCAACGACGACGACGATACGGGGGGAGATCCGAGCTCACAACTCCTCTCCGGAATCCGGATTCGATCGATCGGGCAGGGGGGGATCGGATTGGGATTTATTTCTGCTTCGGATTGGGTGCTGTGATCGAGGAGCGAGCGAGGCGAGCACGTGGAGCGCGCGCGCGGCGGGGCGGGAGAGGGGAGGAAACCCACGCGTCGCTCGCGTCCTCGGCCTCCTCCTCCTCCTCCGCTGGTTTTGGTTTTTACCGTGGCGCGCATGGTTTCGGTTGGGTTGGTTGGCTCGGTTGAGATTTTTTTGACTCATCACGCTAGATGCGTGCCTGCGTCCGAGTCGATCAGGCTCAGGCTGGCAGGCTCTCTCTCCTCGTGTCGTGCGGCGTTGGGACGCGACGGGGGTGAGGCTGACGGGTGGGGGCCGTTTAGGGTGAGAACGGTATAAAAATTTTCCGACCATATCGATATCGTTCTGCAAAACTAATGTAATAATAATATTTTTACCGATGGTTACCCTTTTTAAAATTTAGTTTTTTTTAATTTCTGTCAGTGTGGCACTGAAGTTGACACTAAATAGATAAACTGAATTCATAAATATGAAAATTTCATGATCGTTTTTAAAAAATAATAAAATAATGATACCGTTTCCGATCATTCCCGACCGTTTTCATCCCTAGGCCCGTTTTTGTCCGGTGGGTCCACATGGCTGTGGGAGGTGTCGAGCGCATCCTGTCTCAACCGTGGCAGGTTCAGGTTGAGACTTTGGCATTGGCAAGTTTGTTTATGGGAACCTTTCCTAATCGATGCAATACACGCGCGAAAAATATGCATATGCTCAATCTGTCGCAACAATCTGTTAGGGTTCTCCCCTAGTTAAGGCCGAGTTGGTCTAGTGCTCAAATTTTCCTCATCATTTCAACAGCATTTTGAAGATATTCAGAATGGAACTATAGCATTTTCTGACAACTTACATATCAAATATTTTCTGACAACTTACATATCAAATGTTTTAGTTTGCTGTAATTAGTGCTTCTAATAAATATATAGTAGCAAATCTGTAGTTCAGTATTTTTATATTTGGTAACTTAGGTCCTAGTGCTCGTCTTTAGGAGCTTGAAGAGCTGGTTTCTGCGGAGGGGTATACAAGAGACGAATCGAGGCTCACAAGGCGAGATAGTGTGGCGGCGCAATTAGGCACCATTAGTGGCAGGGGTTTTTCGTGCTAGGATAGATGGATCGATCAAGCCATACTGATAGTAGCGTGGAGTTAAGCTGGGAGGCGTGGTTCATCTGGCTTTGACGGTGAGTGCAAGGCCAGCGAGCTTGGGCAGTGCGATGGCCTTTGTGCAACTTGAGAGAAGATAAGAGATATGCTATGACAAGTGGGCCATGTCCAAAATGCAATGTTTCGGGAATAAATACCGGCCTAAAATGAAAACTTTGGATTAAGGGTGATCCAATGTGAAACGACGGTACATGGCCTAATATGCAATTTTACTCTAAAAATTTGTATTGTTTTTGTCTGTTACTTTCATCTATAGTTGCCCTTAGTACCATATCGCTTCGCTCATCTCCGACTACCCTATGCTCATTCTCATGTTTTACTTTTCCTATTATAGTGCAAGCCATTTTGATGCTCTCCTTTCCAATTGCAACCCAAGCCGTGTTTTCATTTCGATCATGTTGCCTATCACTCTCACTCCGATCACTTCCCGTTTGATTCGTGTTGTGCTTCTGCACTACTAAAAACAAATTTGGCAAACGGGCATAATAGATTTTTCACATGTGGCCTGTGGTAGAGCAATCGCTTGCCCCCCAAGTGTATGTACAAACCAACATTTTTGCAAATGGGTAGCACAACCGCACGCGGTCAGTTATGCCGCCCGCTTGCAAAAATGAAAAATGCGGGGGAAAAAATAAAAAATCCGAAAATGCTCACCCTAGATCCGACGGCGGTGTCCCCCGCACTGCCGCCACCACCGCTGCCCACGGCGTCGCCAATCGTCGTCACAACAAGCAGATCGTGGTCGCGGACATCGCGCCGTCATGGAGATAAGGCGTGGGAGGAGGGAGAAGGGCTAATGTCGAAGAGGAGGTAGAAGATGTGGATCCGCCACCACTGACCTCCTTGGCAGTGGATCGGCGCCTCCCCTGCAGCCATTATCGGATCTGCGAAAGAGGGGGAGGCCAGTGCCTGCAGATTTGCGTCTCCCCTTGCCGCCGAGTTGTTGTTCAACTTTGAAAGGTGTCAAGTACTCCCTCCCTCCCATAAAAAACGAATCTAGGACCGGATGTGACACATCCTAGTACTACGAATCTGGACATACATATGTCCAGATTCATAATACTAGAATGTGTCACATCCGGTGCTAGGTTGGTTTTTTATGGGACGAAAGGAGTATAATGGTTTTGGTTGCTTCAATCACTGGCGAATATATAATTGTTATTACAGACTGAAGTAAAACGGAGATGGTCATTCTAGCACTTCAATTGTTCTATACTTAATTATGCAGATTTGCTTGCGCACAAGGATTTTGAAAGCCTATTCATCTTAGAGATTGGAGAATATTTTACTTTCATGTTCATCTCATTTGCCAGCACCGTATTGTATCCCATATGGAAGTTTGCAGCAACAATGGAGGTGAGTTCTTTGTATCTAAGTGTTCGGATCTTTAATGCTTCTGGTGGTGGTACATGTCATATGCTGCCTCGGCTTGTGAGGACAAACACATCTCGAATAGATAGATCAAAGAGTTTCGATAATTGTAATGTACATGTTTGTTTTCCCTGAAATATTTTTGAATGAGTTGTTTAATAAATTTACTGTCTGCTGTTGTAGTTTTCGGCACTGGAACTGTCCTAAGTAGATAGCTTAATCTTAGGAAGGATTAGTCTACCACTCTACCACATAGATCATGAAGTAATGCTTGCATATGGTCAAAAATTATATTGACCTTGATTTAATATGGTAGCGAGGCACTAACCCGCGAGTGTACAAAAGGGGTAAACATGCGGTGGAAACCAAACTTAGGTAAAAACTCATGTAAACCCCGACCAAAAAGTCGTCTAAATTTATATAAAAACACACACATGTAAATAATACGATGTAACACAAGCATGTAAAAAATCTTTTCTAAACTAAACTCCTTTTGTGATATATAAAAATAACAAATTACATGTGTTTTACACTATACACATGTAAATTATTGTGATATGTAAAAATAACAAATTCATGCATGCCACACCACAGTAGCACCTCGCATGCTCACCAAACTGTAGCCGCTTGTTGCCAAAGTCTATCTGCCACCGTCGCCACTTGATCCTCCCTAGGTTTTGGGGTAGGGAAAGGGGTAAGAACGAGCACACGATTGGGGCTAGGGAAAGTGATGTATTAATCGGGGGGTACAATTGGTCTTTTTTTAATTTTTCAATCATTTTATCTATTCATTTCTAATTCTTTAACTCATTAGTTCTAGGCTCAGCTAACTGTCGTCCAAAGCTAGGACAAACCGGAGCTTCGTTTAAAAGGGGGGCAAAATTACTTTGAAAAACAAGGGTGTAATCAGAAATTCAACTCAAAACATGGGCAAGAACACAATCGTCCTTGGAATAATGGCTGGAGTCATGAGCTTGCCAACGACATGTTCTCTCATCTCCTACAGGAGAGGTGAAGCGGGCTGAGCTACCCATGAAGGTGCTAGAGAGGGAGCCCAAGGAGGTGATCGATCAAAGCGTCCTATGTTGGGGAAGCATACTTAGTCTTTGGTCCACTTATGTGGCTTGTTTTCTTTGCCTAGCCAAACAGAAATAATTCCATTTGCTTTGTTCCTAGTCATTGGATTTAGGCGAGGCATTGGATTAGAGTGCCTGACTAAGCTGCACACACCATATGTAAGAGCATGGGCATTATAAAAAATGGTTGGGCCATCTCCTCGAATCTGGGGCTTGGGTGAAATACAAATTGGGGCCCTTAGATCTTTGATTCACTGTCATAACTCTCAACACTACAGTGTAACAACGTGTCGCCGTGAGCCGTTGAGGACAAGGAAGAGAAGGCGAGGCAACCACTCGACGCTCAACCACGACACTCGTGGCTTGCTCATCGACTACTCTCTCGTCTTGTCGTTTCACAAACTTAGGAGTAGGAATAATTGTCTCATTGTCGTCACGTTGCTTGGCCTCGGCAAACCGCTCGAGACATGACTCTCAAACATGGAATTGGGAATGACAGCTTCAGCGCGCAACGCTACCTCGGTACCATCGTATTGGTCTCGCCTCTCGTGTCTCGCTTCTTGTGCTTGTGAGCCATGATGCTTGGACTGAATTTGGGATGGACATGACACACCATGCACCCCTATGGATGTTGTGCCCGATTGTTTACTCTTTTCTCGATTCCACATTGCGCCATTGTTGCTGAGGTGTGTAATGGCTAATGGGTCGGCTGCCCTCTCCTACGTATGAACATGCCCAACAGCCTCCCGTCTTGGTTCCTAAGAGTTCTGTTTTTTTAAAAAAAAATGACCCAACATTAACCCTAATAAGGAAAACCAAAATCCTGATTCCGCTTCTCTGAAGTCCTCTGTCTCCACAGGTAGGCCCCTACGCTCGCTTCCAATCTTTCTCCCGTAGCAATTCGTGGCGCGCGGTCTTGTATAGAGGGGCCATGTGGAGCGGCGAGAGTGATCACGTATGTAGCGAGAGAAACATATTAACATTGATTTCTATTGGTAGTTTAGTATGGGGCTCTTATTTTTGTTTTAGGAAGTTAATTTTAGACAATCTCTTGGAGGGATAAATATTGTCACAAGTCAAATTTTGTTTAGTATTCCTATAAGCAAAATCTTGGGGATGGACTTTAGCTAACCTCTTGGTGATGCTCTAAGGGGCCCTATGCGGACGCCACGCCAAGGTCGCATGTCTGATCAACCGCTATAGAAAATGGAATGAGCAAATTTTCTTTTGAAAATAGATGCTTTGCCTATTTAAAAACGGATCTTTCGACAAAAAAAATTGGCGAGCAAAACTTATGGGGTATTTTTTAGTGTTAGATATGCTGTCAGTGTTGCGCGCAAAATGTACCCCGGGTTGTCCTCCGCCGCCATTGCCGCGCCAACCGGAGACGGAGGAGACAGGAGGGGCACAAGCGGCGGCAACAGAGCAGAACGAGGAAGAAGAGAAAGAAAGAAAGAGAAGATATGTGAGATTGACAAGTGGGCCCATGGGCAAACTTGTCTTTAACCAATGTTTATGTCTCCGTTTCGACCAGAAATAATAAAATAATGGGAGGGGTGTCTAGCAGCAAGTAGGCAACTCTCACACTGTACTATACTCTCCAGCTCCACCGGCGGCGGTATCCTGCGCAGCGGCTCTTCCAGCGCTGCAACCGACGACGGCCTACGGCACGAGCTGTTAAGCTCATCGGAGTTTGTCCGGCTAGAAGAGAGGAGAGAGGAGGGAAGGAAGAAGGGGCAATTTGGTAAAAGAAAAGAGAAAAATGTTATGAAATAGGAGGGGTGTCTTAGAAAAGAGACTTACGGGACTTACATTTGCATGTATTCAGTGACTGAACCATGCGTTAAGAGTGTATGCGTATATTATATATACATGCTAGTTTCGTATATGCTGTGTATATGGTAGGGCACATCACTTCGCCGGCCCACGCCTCCAACGACGCCGGGACGCTCCTGCCGTCCACGCCGTGCCGCCCAGCCTTTCCAGCAACTGCTACCGACGTCCCCTCTGAACTTTGCCGAGACTGCAGTCCTCCTCGTACAATCCAGCGCCGCGGCCGACGACCGCGCAAGCTCGTCGGAATTCATCGGCTGTAGGATAAGATATATGGGGGAGGAAGAAGGGGATGAAGGTAGAACAAAGGGGTGTTTTGGTCCTAAATGATTAGAAAATGGTGTGGAATGGTAAATAGTCGCATATCTCAAATACTCGTAAAATTATAACAGCATGATATCGAATAAGCGAATAGTAATGGTATATTTCTAAACCGTGAAATTTACAATGGCATGGATCCAATTAACCCTTTATTTTAAGTGTCATGTAACAAATTTTGCCTAATTCAATATACAAACCCTTCTTTTTAAAAAATTTCTTCAGAAAATGAGGAATTAGAATCATCTCTCTTTTTCTCAAGATCGAAGAACCATGCTCTTAATTGAGTGCACGCTTACATTACACTTGTCACTACGAAATAGAGCAATTTGACATAACTATTGGTTTTATACACCATCACTGGAAAAATAATAAAGAGAACACAGCATATCTAAGCAAGACAACATCAAAATGCAGGCATCAATATTTGAGCTGCCACATTAACATCTGCACCAGGATTGAGGGCCGTAGTTGTTCCTCGTTCCATGTTGTGCACATATAATCCTTTGTCACCACGCATTAAAAAATAAATGCAGTTTCCATCCAGATAAACTTCTTTTGCATTAACCGATACTCCAGAGTTCTTAATGGTATTAACTACAAATGCTCTGTCCTCAAGTGTGTCCATCTTCACCCAAGCTCTTCTTGTTATGTCCAGCTTGTGAACATCGATCTCCACTGTTTTTTGAGAACATGTCATTGGATGGTAAAAGAACAAGATGAACAAATCTCCGCTTGATTCTAACAAACAGATTTCCGCAAAGTGATACACTATATTATGTGCTGATTTAATAGGAATAATATCAAATGTTGGATAAGGGAAGAATTCTAGTGTCACAATACGATCACCAAATGTCGTGTAGAACTTTCCCCCCACTGCAGTGAGAAGGGACATAGATTTAATAACAGTGAAACGGTGATGATGAAACCTCCTAGCATGGTACTTATGCATAGACCACTGGGTTCCTCCAATATGACAATACCAAATTATTGTGTCATGAAGGCTTAGTACGAGCACGATGCAGTTTGGATCAGTGGGACTATGCGATAACAAACACCTCGTGTAATTCTTTCTGAGGAATCTATCTTGATCGAAGGGTAGGCTAATTCTCTGAGACGTAGATGGGTTCCACAAAAAGATCTCATGTGAGTCACGGTGCAGCATGAGCAACCAACCTTGCGGTGTTATCCAATAAAAGTGGTCTTTCAAATCATCTGGCTTGTCGTAAGCTACCAATTGTTTGCTAGAGATGTTGTAAAGGACCAAAGTGTCATTTACCTCCTTAGCCTCATCAGTAGTGTTATCATCATCATCACCACTTACATCAATTTTGTTATCCTCACTTATTCCATCATCATCAGTTTCCTCTGTAGATTCATCCTCATCACTTGTCTCACTAAACTCGTCTTCGTCGCTCACATCGTCATCATCACCACTTTTCTCATTGTCCTCGTCGTCGCTTTCTTCCAGAGGCATATAATAGTTGTAATGAAACCATAACATTGGAGCTAATTTAGGATCCAATAAAGTTGATTGTTCGTTTTCTTTAATCCCGATCTGCATACTCAAGCTGCATACAGAAATGAGTACTCTAAAGAAATTGAAATTTACTCAAATGTGTCGACGATGCTGTGTACAATGAGGTGGTTCTATAATTTCTGAACTCTAAGCGTTAGAGCTAGCTATATGGAGATAGTAATAATTAAATAGCAAGAAAAAGGACATATATATATATATATATATATATATATATATATATATATATATATATATATATATATATATATATATATATATATATATATATATATATCACCGTACCGTCACACTGTGAAGCATTATTATATATAGCAAAAGAGAGAGAAAGACACATTTATGTCTCCGTTTTATATTAAAAAAAAGAGAGAGAAAAACATGTAAGGAAAAATATCTATAACAGTTTCATATACAATAGTCTAGTTGGCATCACATGATAATGCTCCATCCGTTCCAAAATATAAGGTACAACCACTCTTAACCTAAAGAGAAAAACAATTATTATCATCTTTTAGTTTGGATCACCCTAATAAATGTAATGTATACATCCAATAAAATTAGAGATCTTGAGAGTGGATGATTTAAAAAAGTAATAATTTAATGAAGAAGATGTACTAATTAATTGTATAAATGCATGCATGCCTTATGTATTATGGAATATTAAAAAAAATATAGTTGTGCCTTGTATTATGGAACGGAGGGAGTAACTGATAGTATTAATTAAATTAAATTTCCTGTTGCAAAAAGAACATTGTAATAATAACATGCTCTAGAACGTACCTTTATGCGTTCCTTTAGATTGCCGATCAACACGGCTGCAGCCGCCAACAGGTAATTAACCAGGCGCACTGTTCTTCCGTTCCTATAAGTTGCCGATTAATTGCACGGCTGGATCGTATATCTCGATCTGGATATATACATGCTCGTATAAATACCCGTGAGAGGCCGTACGTGATGCACTGGATCTGCGAATCTAATCCACCTCGGATTAATTCCCGCGATCCACTCGTACACGGTATCGGTATTCGCACGCACGCGGCTCGAGTCGTATCCGATCCGGAGACCGAGCCCGACGTACGCGAGGACCAGCCGCGCCACACGGTCGCATGACGTACATACTCCGCTACAGCCTTAGGCTTTAAAACGTGACATGCACGTACGGCCTGGTACACGAATCCCACACCGATCAATCGATCGATCCAGATCAGGTAGCTCGCTCGACGCGCGCGATGGAGGAACGGGACTGGTCGTCCCTCCCGCTCGACGTGCTCGCCGCGATCCTGGAGCGCCTGCGGTGGTCGAGCCACCCGAGCGTCGCGCTGACGTGCCGGCACTGGCGCTCCGCCCCGTGCCGCCCTTCTACCCGGCGTGGATCACCCCGCTCCTGCTCAGCACCGCCCGCGTCGGCGCCGCGAACCTCCGCTACTACAGCCCCTACTACCACAAGAGCTTCGAGGTCGGGGACGACGAAGGCGGCAGCCCCGCTCTTGGCGGCGTCGCCCGTGGCGCCAGGATCTGCTGCGCCTCCGCCGGGCGACACCTCGCGCTCGGCATGTCGGGCGCGGTACTCGATGCCGATCTTGTAACCGGCGTCGTTCGTAAGGTTCCGCACGCGCATAAGGACATGTTCGACTTTATCATCTACAGCGACGACGCGCATAGAATGTTTGGGATCAACGCGGTTCTCCCGCTCAGCGTTGCCTATGTCAACCAAAACAACGACGGCGATTGGGAGGACTGGACGTTGACAGAGTTCGACCCCACTAGGCCATGGCTAAGGGCGTCACCTATCACCAACCCTGTCATACATAGGGGCTTGATATATCTTCTGGACGAACAAGGGAGGTTGGCCGTGTATGACCCATGCAAGCATGAGGAGGGATTTGAGATTCTTGATAAGCCCATGAGCTTTGGAATATTTAAACATTATGACAGCCACAACATCTACATGTTTGAGTCTGACCAGGACGAACTGATGGTCGTCCTCGTTGGGCAACGAGGTGCACCGGTTCATGTTGTCAAGCTTAATGAGAATACAATGGAGTGGGATAAGGTGGATAGTTTGCAGGGGAGGGCGTTGTTCACCGGCACGCATGCATCGATGATGAAGAAAATCGAGCTGGAGTGGATGCAGAATCGGAAAGTCCTTTTAGCACCTAGGTGCTGCGGCACCTAGACTACCATCCACACGATTGCTCGAAGATTCGTGCTCACCTTTACTGTATCAGTTAGTGTATGTATAGGTTAGCAGCGTATTTCTTTTTTTTTTAGCGCGCGCTTCAAATATAGCTGGGCCCACCGTAAGATTCGTGCACACCTTTAGAGGAGGGAGAGGAGTTTGGGACCATTGTGTGTACGAAGTACGATGCCTCATTTTTTCTCGTCCAAATATCTGTTCGATACATTCCCTATCTTTTTCCATCTCTCTCCATCGTCGGAGAGCCACCGTCACCATCTCCAGCCATCGCCGCCGGTCGCCAGCCGCCCCGCGCGGCGCTGCCCGCATCTTACTTAAAGTAGCTAGCCCGCCTCCCCGCCACCTGCATCCCCGTTGCATCTCCCGGCGGCCGAACCGGCGCTCCGTCCATCTCGCTGATTCTCTGGCCGAAGAATGTTCACAAACTGATGAACGCCCTTCTCTCCTTGTTCTCGTGATGCTCTCCTTTTTTTTTCCTCGACTCCCTGCATTCCATGTGTTTGTTTGTTCTTGTGTTTAGACTTTAGAGATGGAGAGAGAAAAAACAATTAAGATAACTGTCATGGATTTCTTTTTCTCTTTTTTAAGTCCGAATTATCATCATCATGGATTTCATTCATGAGTTCCTTGTTTCAAGTGGCTCTTGTGATAAAAACACTGGTGAACACTCATGAAGCGATAAGCATGTTCTGAACTTTTTTATCTAGATCTTCTAAGATCTTGTTCATGTTTATTTGGAATATACATGCAAGTTTCCATTGGATCAAGATGAGACAAGGAATGTTCTTTTTCGTTCCCCTCTTTGTCTCATGTGGTCAGATAATTAAAAGTTCAGTTCTTGTGGCATCACTGTTTCCCCATGAATTTTTTTTCACAGCTGCTTCCGATATGTGTTTTTTTTTTTCCTGTTTTGCTTCTTCATTGTTTTTTCGAGTAATGAGTGCTCAGATCAATAATCCATAAGCTTGGATGCTTCTTATTTAATCCAATTAGGCAGATTTTAAAAGCTAAGAATCATGAATTGTACAAACCGAAGTCATTTCGAGCACAGCAAATCCATCATCTCCCTCTACTCAAACCAGCAAAAACAACTTTTGATGCATTTTCATATGCAACTTTTGAGTTTTTGAATAAACCAAGACATGTGAAGCACTTGTTTTGGTAAGCCTTTGAACAACTTTCAACTGTCCACATCTGTTGTTTCCTATCCCCGAATAAAATGTACCTCACTCGTAGAAATGTTTTTTACACGCAAGTGCCTTTACGGCAGCCGCAGTGTGTCCAACGCACTTTACAAAAGTACGGACTACGGAGTAGCACTACCTCGCTTACGAAGTAAAAAAAAAAGAAAAAGAAAAAAAGGTTTACTATGTGCTGGCCCTCAAGAGCTATGCAAGTAAGCAACAATAGCTGTTTGCAATTGCTATCCGTGCATCATATAACTGTCTTTGCTAATACAAAGGACACGGCACACCTGATAGGGACAATACCTGAATTTCCTTATTATGCTCTTATGCACTTTACCTAGTTTAAGTTTTATTACCGGTAATTATGCTATTAATAGACATTGTGCATGTTGTCAGTTTGGTTGCTTATTTCTTATCTTTGCCACACAGTAATGTCGCTTGATATAATGCATATAATTTAAACTGTTTTTTTCAGTTTAGCTGTTGCGTTCCCTCCCCTATTTCTCTTCCCCTCTCGCTCTCTGATGTTTTTGTTATAGAAAAAAAGTAGAAAGCAAGAGATAGATGTGGTGATCACTGCTCACCACAGGATTTTCTGTTGGCCTGTTTTTTCCCTCTAAAAACAAGATCAGAGTGCAGTCTTCTTCTCCACGAATAGGGTGGACAAACATTCAAAATGAATTTGTTTCGTTTTGAAACAAAATCAGTGCAATGCTCCCCTTGCCTCTTTTTTCATCTTTCAATTGAATTTGTCCCCCCTCTTAGGTGAATGAAATTCATGTGTTGCAATGAAAATTTCACAAAATTGGAGTCACTATGAACACAATGCACAAAGTTGCTATTAGTGGAATTTCCTTTACAAGCATGATTGTTTTTTTATCCAAAAAGAGAGAACAAATCCAATTTTCCTCAGTGCTTCCTTCGGCTCCATGAATTCTGTTTTTAAGAAATGCAACAAAGTTCAAAGGGGAAAATCATCCTGGAGACATGGATTGTACCGAGAACATCGACACTTTTAAGTTGCAAATTGACAGTTACAAAGTTGAGCGAATTGTTTGTCCAGAAAAATCACTCGATATACAACGAAGTTCAAATCCAAGAGAAAAAGAATAACACTGAAATCCATGAGAATAATCTGTCTGCTCAAATTAGCAACAACGCAAGCCCAAAAACATCACCATGAAAAATCTCTGTCTTTCGTTCTCTGCGTCAGATAAACAACTGCATCTTAGGAAAAAAAAAACATGGATCCTTCTCTCTCCTCCATCTCTAAACTCTAAGCACAAGAAAAGAAGAAACTGTGCAGTTTGAGATCTGGCGATACAATGCATCCGAACTAGAATGAACTGTGCGGAGGGACAAATTAGAACATTGAACCGATCTGAAAGTTCTGAACACACACCCAACAAAGGAATACATAAACACAGACAAAAAAAAAATCAAACTTTAACACACAAGAACACAGATTTGCACAAATGCACGGTTTAAAAAAAAAACAGATTTGCACAAATGCTGCAATAAGCGCATGCATCTGTTGCTTGAGTGGATGAAAAAAGACAGCGCAGACAGAAGGGCGACAGGACACACAATTGCCTACCTCCCTGCAACGCCATTAGACAAGCACAACGTCGGGAAGGGAAAAAACTGATGGAGAAAGCAAAGTTTTGCTGCACGAAGCTTTGTTCAGGAAACGGGGGAAACAAGAGCTCTGCTGCTGCTTCTTCTTCATTCTTTT